GTGGTGCCGAGGGAGGGGCCCACCTATGGAAGGGTGTAGTGCTGAGGGAGGGGCCCACCTATGGAAGGGTGTGGTGCCGAGGGAGGGGCCCACCTGTGGAAGGGTGTGGTGCTGACCGCCGGCCTCCATAGTCTCCTCCTGTGGGACGCACTGCCTGCCTTCCCTCCATTTAGTGACCAGCTCACCTCGCCCCACAGCACCTTCTTCCCCTCATTCTGCTTAGAACAATCTTCAATGTTTACGTGTCCTGTTTTTAATTCAGGGATCAAAACTCAACAAAGACAACAAAACTCACAAAGAAATGAGCCCTGAGCTGTCTCATACTCCCTATAAATGAAGAATGGGGTAGGTGACAAGGGCTTCCCAACAAGGACCCTTGGCTCAGGGGACCCAGTGCCCCCCTCACATCCCAGGGCTCATGGGGCAGATGAGGGGCCCAGCCGCAGGGGCAGAACTGAGCTCCAGGAGAGTCGGGAGGGGGGTTCTCTGCATTTATGGGGAGGCAAGAAGGCCACACTGACAGCGAGTGGCCATCCCCCAGTTGTGGGGGAACCTGACCCTGCAGGCTGCCGGTGCCCAGAGGTTGAGGGACAAGGGGGTGCACAGCAGCATCCTCTGGACCTGACACGTATCGTGACGTTCACACGGCAAGCTCATGCCCGGGGCCGGGAGCCCTTGATTACCCTGCCCCTCTACCTGTGACTCTGTCCCTTTGTAGGAAAAGACATGGAGTGAAGGTGACATTGGGTGAGGTGGCTTTAATTAGAGCTTGTGTACACCCTTCTCTCACTCCCCTCATTGGTAAAAAGAGGAGCGATTCACAAAATTCAAGGACGAATAGGAATCATCATAAATCACATGCAGCACCACACCCCATGCTCGCATTAAGAAACCAGGATTTGGGAGCAGGTGTGGGTTAAGCCAGGGGCAGTGCTGGGAGATCCCTCTGCCCAGCAAGGCCCGAGAGCTCCCTAAACAGGAGGGTGCACGGTCGAAGCAGAGTCCGGAAAAATGCACCTGTTCATAGAGAGTGAACTATTGGACGGTTTGGAAAAATCTGGAGGCCAGAAGCAGAGCAGAGGCTGGAAGGCCTTCCAGCAATGAGGACCAGGGACATGAGGAGTTGATGGGGACAGAAGAGAAACAGTGACACAGGGAGATGTTCTGAAGGGAGAAAATTCTCACCCTGAACTAGCATTTAGAGGCCAACTGGACACACAAGAGACAGCATGGAAAACAGTTGGGATAACTGTCTGCCCACCATGAGGTCAGCAGGCTGCCCCTGGATCAAGCTGGATCTGCACTCCATATGCCTGCAACCCCACTTCACCAGGTCAGGTCAGGGCCGGGAGCACTGGTGTGACCTAGGTTTGTCAGTGGGACTCCAGGGGGCCCAGGGCCACCTACCTCGAGTGTCCCAGAGCCGAAACCTCCTGCAGTGGAACTCCAGCTCCTGCTGGCAGTGCCCGGCACGGCCAATGGTGGCCAACAGCTGCTCTGGGCTGGCCGTGTACTGGAACACGGCCCTGTGCGGGCTCTCCCAGTCTGCACCCTTGACCCTGGTGAAGGCCGAGCCGTTGTGCCGCAGGACGGTCCAGGGGACGTCTCTCGGGAGAGCGGGAGAGAAAGAGGAGGGTCACTGAGCTGGACACAGGGATGTGAGCGCCAGACACCTTCCAGCACAGGCCGTGGGACCCACGCCATGGGACCCTGACCCTTAAATCACAGGGGAGCGTCCTCCCTTCACGACACGGGTCTGTGTCTGAGCTGATCCTTTCAGGAAAATGTACATTTCTGTGTATTTATAATGTTTACAGGTGAGAAAAAGGAGCAGAACTAAATTATTAAATTTCTGTAATAATCTAAAATGACATAATCAAACAATGGCTTTCCCCTCTTACAAAACCCTGCTCTCTGTGGGAGAAGGCACTCGCCGCGCACCGCCTGCGCGTCAGCACCCTGTGTGTCCGTGTCCCGATGGTCAGGCCCCGTGCAGGTCGTTGTGGCCTCGGGAGATGCACAGCCCTGACTTGACAGGCAAGAGGGAGCAGCTTCCTGCCCTGACGCTTGACCCTGCCCTGCGGTGGGACACGGGCCTGAGATGGCACCGTGACCCCGGCCACCTCTTTCCCAGCATAACCTCTGTCCACCTGGACGCGATGGCTGGACTACAGACCCCGTGAGCGCTGGTGCAGAGGAGGCGCATGGGCCCTTCCAATCCCTGAGGCCCTGAGTCCACTCATGGGTCCAGCCACCCAGCGTCGTCTGTGAAGAGTCAGTCAAATGGTCTGTTTCTATTGGGATTTGTCCAGTTAAAGGGCCTGAAAAACCACCCCATGGACTTGGTTTTGTTGGTTTGTTCTTTTATATGCACCTCCATCCTTCGTGGCCGGGCACGTGGCCTGGAGAGGGGGACGTGGCACAGCCCGTGGCCAACTGTGGCATCAAAGTGCTCCTGCCTGCTCAACGCTCGCCTAGTCCCACCTGACACAGGTGAGGAGTTGGAGCCTGGAAGAGGGGCCGAGACCATCCTCGCAGTAGCTGAGTGACTCAGCTAATAAACACCAACGTGCAAAGGCACAGAGGCCACGGGGCAGGAGGCCACGGATCCCTCCGCTGACGTCTCACATTAACGCCTCCTCTCTGTGCCAGCTCCTTGCACATCACCTGCTCCATGTGCCCCCCTGTTTCTCTGTGAGGAGGGTCTCGTCCTTGGGGACAGGGCCGACCCCAGAGAGGCGCTGTCAGTGTCATCACTGCGCCCTCGGATTTTGGCTCACTCACCACTCGGCCAGAGGTGATGAGCCTCCCGAGATGCAGAGCTTCTGGAGTCAGACAGGCCTGGGTGGCATCTGGGAGGCGGGGTTGCTATGCGTCCTGGGTCTGCGGCTTCTGGAAAGTCACTCCAATTCCCTGCACCACATGATGTTTTCTGAGACCCATGCACAGGGCTCTCAGGTGCTCTGTGCCACCCAAGAGGATGCCAGCCCATCCTGGCCCATGGAAGATGCAGAGGTCAAAGGTGTGACGAGTCTTCATCCAACCATGCACTGTGGGCTCCCAGTCGCCTCCCATGCTATTCCCAGTGCAGAGGGTTCAAGTGGCTCCCGGGTCACGCAAGGAGGTGGGGGGTCTGGGGGCCCTGCCTCAGGCCCGTCTGCTCTGACATCTCATGCAGACCCTAGGGGCAGGGGCTTCTCCACCAGGGGCCCCTCCTAGAGCCTCTTAGCATTGAGCCGCCTGGTGGAGGGAGGGCTGGTGCAAGGTCCCACCACAGCTCAGCCTTCTGCCCCTCCAGCTGAGCCATCAGAGGCCTGTCACCCTTATTCTAGGATTCACTGCCACTCCACATGGAGCGAAGCTCTTCCTTCATCTCGGATTTCTTCTCTAATGCTGCCTTTCTGAGGGGGGGCTCAATGTCATGGAGGGCGGTGACCTGGGGCAGCATGAATGGCAGAGCAAGCGTGGGGGGCAGTGACTGAATCCCATTATCACCCCTCCAACCTCTCTGAGCAAAGTGGAGTGCCTGCGAGCAGCAGAACATCCCACAAGGACGCTGTCAGTGAGATGGTATGAGAAAAGCTACTGTTACCCCTCTGATGACCATCCAGTCTTACTGCAGCCATAGAGAGGAGATAATCACGGTCTCGATGGAGTTGACGGGGAGATGATTCATAAACTTGGCCTTGAACTCCCGGAAATTAACAACGGATGGTCAATAAAACTCCTGCAGACACCAGGCCTCACAGTCAAGAATCTACCAAAGAAATCGTGATGCTTCAGAATTTCCATTGACCTTGGCATCTGCTGGCGCTTGGTAAGGGCCCCGTGTGTTAAGTGCGCAGGCATGAGCAGCTGAGCCGTTAGCCAGATGGCCGGCGGCCGACAGCATCTGAGGATGTCAGAGAGTAGCACACGATTGTGGTAATTCAGACTCCAAGGGGCGGAAGGAACATGTCATTGGAATGTGCAGCTTCATGTGAGTTACCGCCTACGTGCTCTGGGCAGCCACCCTAGCCATTGTATGTGCAAACACATGTGTGCAAGCACCTGGTATGTGTGCACATGGATGCATAGATGCACACACGCATAAGGGCATGTCTTCCGGTCTTCTAGAGGTTCGCAATCCCTTCCATTTTTTCTTATCCAAAGGACAACCATTACTCAGACACACCATTGCTTTGTCTGAAAGTCTGGCGCCTGGATCCACAGGGGGACCCTCTGTGGGTCCGAGGAGAGACCAGGACTGGGTCTCTCTAGCACCTCGCCATAACCATGGAGGAATGTTCCAGAGCAAGGATGCACCCTCGGTCTGCACAGAACGTCAGATGCACCGGGCAGCAGGCAGGCGAGCACCGTCCTCAGAACAGGAAAGGATGAGGAGGATGTGTGTGTTTATCTCCAGAGCCGAGCTGTCCCGCAAACAACCTCCCTGAGACTTGTCTGCCCTCTGCTCCCGGGCCCAAGCTTTCTCCACCCTGGAGCCTGTGCGTCCACTGCTGGGCTGTCCCTGTGTTGGTGTTGAAACGTCTGCCTGAAGCAGTTTTGTGCCCACGGCCACCACCCAGATCCTCCGGGTCCACCCACGTCCTCTGCTGGGAAGACCTGCCTGACTTGCTTGGTCAAATCTCTCGAGTAAAGGCAAAAGCAGTCAGATTTTACCTTGAGTACTGAGGAGACAAAAAATAATTTTCATGAGAATGTTTTTTAACCTATTCAAAAGTCATCCAAAAAAAATTGATTCTCCCACATTTCTGAGGCCAGAATCTGGAACCAAAGTGTCACGGGGCCAAGCTCCCTCTGAAGGCTGGAGGGGAGGGTCCTTCTTTGCTTCTTGCAGCTTCTGGTGGTCGATTCCTGCACGATCTTTGACTTGTGGCTACATCACTCCAACCTCTGCCCCCATGGTCACGTGGCCTGCGTCCCTCAGGTGCGGCTGTGTCTCCAAACCTCCATCTCCTTATGAGGACACCAGCCTTTGCATCCAAGGTCGACCCTAATCCAGCACAACCTCATCTCAACTTGATTACATCTGCAAAGACCTTATTTCCAAATACGGTCCCATTCGCAGCTTCCAGGGGGGCATGTATTTTGGGGAGACGCTATCCAACCTAGTGCACAGGGAGACACTCAAAATCTGAATTAACATCTATATCTGCCCTGCTTTACTTTTTGCTGTTTCTGTTGTTTTGAAACTTAGCAGAGTGGAAAATTTAGACAGGTAGCAGTTCCATCCAGTGATGCAGTTGAGTCACTTGTTACTGAAATATGCAGCGATGGAGAAACAATGTCAAGAAAGGGGTCCCACCTGGGTGGTGAGGGGTTAGGTCAGTGTGGGGAGGGGATGGAGGCATGGACCCCAGCGTCATGGAGGTTGTCTCACCTGGGTGGTGAGGGGTTAGGCCAGTATGGGGAGGGGATGGAGGCAGGGATTCCAGTGTGGTCAAGATGTGGGTATAGTTACAGAAACAGATGCAGCAATCCTAGATATAGACAACTAGTATCCAGGCAGGAATTCAGGAGCTTGGGGCAAATGGACATTATGTTCACACTCATGTAACAGGTAGCTCTGTGAGGAAATGAGATGCTAATCAGCTGACCGCAGCAACCATTTCACGGTGCATCTGTTGAACAGCAGGCACACCCATGCATACAGGTATGTCAAGTCATCACACTGATGGCTTAAATATATGTAATTTTTATCTTAAAAAATTGAAATTTCTTTTGACTTTAAAATCCATTAATCCAATCAGATAAGTCTTGAAACCTTTTGTTTTAGGATTTAGTAGGCAAAATTTTATTATTAAATATTCCACAATAGAGTACATGTATGCAAATAATGACATAACCATGAGTTTTCACTTTTGAACTACTTTGTAAAAATTTGTATCAAATACCTTTATTGAATAATGACCTACTATTCAAGATTATTCTATTAAAGCTGCTGACCAAGTAAATTTCTACTTGGTGGGCTATGATTTTGTGTTTAATAAGAGTCTTCGAGTCTAACTCTTATATCAAGACTTGAACTCACCTGTCATGTTACAGAACGCAGGGAAGGGCTCCAGGGGTCCACTGCCGTCGGGGTCGATGTGGTAAAGCCCGGAGGGGCTGCCCCTGTGCTTGTAAGCTTCACAGGACTGCTCGTAGAGGGCTGCAGAAGTCGTGTAGTCACCCACAGGAAATGGGATGGAAGGAGGTTCTTAATATTTTTATTAGAAGAGGAAGAATATTCGGAGTTCTGCATTACAGTAAATATTTACCCCCCAGGAGATAATGTGACCATATCTTAAAATACAAAACCATTTTTTAAGTAATGTGTGTTGTAACATATTTAACTAGGTAGAAGAAAAGAGTGTTGCCATCATTTTTATAACACTTGTAAACCCCTAAAGGCAAATAAAACTACTTGGTGCAATGGCAGATTTGGTTCATTGTGACGTCACCAGGAAACACGAGGGTCTGCATGGAGGATTTGTGCCACATGCAGCGTGTCATCTTTGTCTGCTGGCTCACACCCCTTGAAAAGGAAACCTTACTCTTCATGAGTCTACCCCACCCCTCGTCCCTTCCAGTACCCCGATTAAGAACAGAGGCTGTAATGAGTCAGTTTAACTGGGTCTCTCCACCCGGCCTCCCTTCTCAGAACGGTCTCCCCAGTGGGTCACTGTGGACTGGCCCAGTGTCATCTCCCTCTGCTCTACCTGCGAAGAAGCACAGTCAAGTCCATTGGTAGGTCAAGTGGCTCAGACGGAAAATCCATTCACTTATCTCGTGACTGTTTTCTCAGAGTTCTTGGGTTTACAGTTGCTCATTACAGTTAAATGAGAAAAATTAATCCCTCAGAGCATATTCAAGAGGCGTCTGCTCTGTGTAGGATTCTGTGCTGGGCATGATGGGGAGTAACTAACAGAGGAGACGATGTGGCCTGTGGGAGCTCCCCCTCCCGTGTAGCTGGGAAGACTGGTCAGCAGGGGCTCTCAGCCTGCTCTCCCATAGGGAACGCAGAGGAGCAGGGGTGAAGGTGGGTGAGCTGAGACTTTCCTGATCACCCCCTCTCCTCCCAAGCTTCTTTGTGAGACCCCAGCCTGGGCCCAGGTCTGGTCCCAGCTCCTCCCCAGGACCAGACCCTGAGACCTGAGATAGAAACCCAGGCCCCACTGTAAGAAAGGTCCTCCCGTGAATCTTGTCAGGGTTAAATTAAATAAGAAGTGCGGAGCATCACACAAGGCAGTGGTTCTCCACCAGGTGACCCTGTGCCACTGGAGTCCAGTAGGCGGAGGCCAGGATGTTGGTCACGTCCTGTAGTCACAGAACAGCCACACAACAGAATCATTAGACCCCAGATGCCAGTGACGCCGAGGTTGAGAAACCCTGCACCAGGTGAAGAACAGCTGGTCAGTTCCGGAACCACTGAGTTTCCTCACGGGAAATTAGGATTTTGGTAGCAAGCACCGTGAGGATGGGATTAGGCAGTGCTCACACGGCAGTAGAACAGCGCCTGGCCTCTAAGACGAGCTCACAACGCACTAACAGTTAGCACCATCACTGAAGAGCCTCAGGGTCGACGGGACTCCCTCTGAAATCTGAATCCCCACAGCATGCGAGGAACGCCCACCCGATTCTCCCGGGACTCTGTCTAATTTTACGAACATTAATAACCTGGTAACGATCGTCTTTCCACTATGTGGTGTTGCCAGGAAGTTCAAAGCTAAGCTGTGGCCCAACTCAAGAAACCAAACCAGAGGGTGCATTCGGCTTGATTCTGTTCATGTTTCTCTTTGATTATACTGGATTTTCTCAGTTTATTTTCCCTTTTTCTGTTATCCTCTCCTTTTCTATCAATTTTTATGTTTCTGTAAGTGACTTTAAATGAGCAACCTAGACCTCAGCGAGAGGCTGAAACACGCGTGTGTCTATCATGGCGGCAGATAGAGGCAGTTTACTTGTCCTAAAGAGAAAGATAAAGGGAGAGCAGAGGAGACAGGAGTGGAGTGGAGTGGGCAGCGCTTACAGTGGCGGCAGGTGGCGCCCGCGTAGCCGGTGCTGGTGCAGTCGCAGTAGAAGGCGGTCCAGGTCTGGGAGCACCTGCCGCCGTGCTCGCAGTGGTTGGGCAGACACCTGAAAGGGGAGCAGAGAGGCTCTCAATTCCTGTGTGTTCATCTCAAAACTCGGGCCTGTTAGCCGATGTGCACAGGGCGACGCCATGGGGGGCGACAGCCACACACAACCCCAGAGAGCCAATGGCCGTGGAGCCTGCTGTGAAGTTTCCACCCCCAACACTAACCCCCGCGTCAGTAAGCCCTTAGACTCCTCTGATGGCCATGTATCTGGGATGTCTGAACCTATGATGCTTCTCTTTCTGTTGAAGAACTGTGTTTTTCTACCACAGGACTTGCCGCTTGGCTAGGAATAGCAATTGCTTACAAAAAATAACAGTGACATTTTATCATGTTGAATTGTTCCAATATTTAAAAATTTTTTTAATTTAATTTAATTTTATTTATTTTTTCCCCCAAAGCCCCAGTAGATAGTTGTATGTCATAGCTGCACATCCTTCTAGTTGCTGTATGTGGGACGCGGCCTCAGCATGGCCGGAGAAGCCGTGCGTCGGTGTGCGCCCGGGATCCGAACCCGGGCTGCCAGCAGTGGAGCGCACGCACCTAACCACCAAGCCATGGGGCCGGCCCTAATATTTAAATTCTTAAAAGAAAGAATGGAAAGGAAGTGGAGAGACTAAGAGGAGAGTGAGAAGGAGGGGAGGGAGGTCCATAGGGGACTGTCAGGCCAGGAATCCACAAGGTTGTTTATTCTAGGCTCACACATCCTTCTGATTCTTTTTCCATTTGGAATTTGGAATAAAAGACTAGCCAGGACCAAAGCTCTACGCACACTATGTTTTCCCAAGAAAAACAAATAAATCAGAAAATACTCAAGAAAACCCAACAACCATCTATGCACGATGGATATTTTGTCATCTGCTCAATTAAAATTAAGAACGGGACTCTTGAAATTTCACTTACAGGCTTTTGTCTATTTTAATTGATCATAGCATAATTGATTTTCTTGAAGACAAAAAGCAAATGTTCATTATCAAATATTCAAACAATCCAGCAGAGTATAAAACAGAAAGTAAAAATGATTTGAAATTCTAGCCCATAATATAACCACTATAGTTATGCATGTGCATATATTAATAGTTAAGTATATAAAATGTAATTACACATGATATTTTGCAAACGTCTTATCAATGTTTCATTAATATGCCATGAGAATTTCCATGTCAACAAATTTATATTTTATAAGTGCTTCTGATAGCTCAGAGAAACCCATTACACAGTTACCGTAAGGTATTTGAAAAGCACAGATTTGAATTCACAGACACCCGTGTGATGGTGGGAATCCACCACAGCTGCAGTCAACAGAGGAGCGGTAACACCTGTGGTTGCTCAGATGCTCCAGCGGCAGAGCCGGCGGTGCTGGTGCTCCTTGTGGCTGTCGTTTGCAGACTACCCAGAAAACGCTCTCAGCCTGTGAAGAGCTACACTACTGTGTGTGGAAACCAAAGACCGAGTCTTTCATTCTGTGGTAAATGCTCTATTTCCTAATTGATCTGCCTGTCACGATCCATTGCCTGAACCATTTTTCCTATTTTTGGGTTGGAATTGGGATTTTTACTGTTGTGAACTGAAGGAGAAAGCGCTCGTGTGTTCATTCCACTCAAGGTGGGCCTGGCGGGGTGTGTGGCTCCTGAGGACTCTGCCTGTGCCCGGCCCGCGTCCCCCCACCCACGTTCTCCATCCAGAGTGCACCACGCCCCCCGAGGTGTCTCCCCACGACTTTCCTCCTGGTGAACTGGTCCAGAGAAGCCACCACCAGGCATGTGGTTCGGAACAGCACAGTTCATACCCATTCCTACATTCATACGTTTCCAGTCCAAGAAGCTGAAATCAGGCTTCCTGGAAAACAGAGGCTGTCTTTCTTTCTTTCTGCTCCCTCCTCCCCTCAGAGACCACAGGCCGAGCACACCTGCCCCCATCCTGGTCCAGCAGCTGCTGTCCCTCCCCCAGTCGAGTCCCTCTGACACAGAGGAGCTTCCTGCCTTCACTGCACGTGTTACCGGACACAGGAAGGATGGCCACGTTGGCAGTGCTGGTGCGAGTGTGTGAGCATGTGTGTGTGAGTGTTGTGCGTGCATACAAGTGTGCGAGTGTATGTGTGTGAACACTGGGTTAGTGAGCAAATGTGAGAGCACTGGGTAAGTGTGTGAGTGTGTGCTCAACTATGAGCATGTGCATGTGAGTGTTGTGTGAGTGTGCAAATGTGAGCCCTGGGTGACTGAGTGTCTGAATGTTGTGTGAGTATGTGTGTGTGAAGTGTGTGGCTATGCAAGTGTATTGTGAGTGTGAGCACTGGGTGAGTGAGCAGGTGTGAGTGTGAGCACTGGGTAAGTGTGTGTGTGCTCAAGCATGAGCATGTGCATGTGAGTGTTGTGTGAGTGTGCAAGTGTGAACACTGGATGAGTGTGTGAATGTTGTGTATGTGTGTGTGCAAGTGTGTGACTATGCAAGTGTATTGTGAGTGTGAGCACTGGGTGAGTGAGCATGTGTGGGTGTGTGTGCAAGTGTCAGTGTACAAGCGTGTCAAGCATGGGTCTCACTCCTCTCCAGGGTCCCAGATCTGGGCTTTCAGTGAAGCACAGGTTGACCCCGGCGGAGACGTGGACCCAGCACCCACGGGAGGAGGTAAGTGCGGCCCAGGTGGAGGCTCCCCCAGGTCTGGGAGGCACCGAGGGGTGCTGGCTGTCCATTTTTCCTGAGCAGAGAGCACGGGGTCCTGGAGTTCTTCAAACATGATATTTGAGAAATGGTTAAAGAACCAGAGAATTTTAACCTGAAGAAAAAGAGTGTTTAGAAAATCATATAAAGTGACAAACATTTAAATATTTGCAGTGTCAGAGTTGGCCAGAGAGTGGAAATGTGCTCAGTGCAGTCATGGAGAGTGGACACAGATAAACGGTGGGCATCAGACACGTGAGGGCTGCCAGCAATGGCCAAGGTGGACTGACAGGGATAGGATTTTTGTCCCCCTGCACAAACACACAAAAAAGGAAGAAACGTGAAATGACAGCTTGTTTCCAAGACACCGGCCATCAGGCAGGGACGGACAGTAAGAGATGGAAAACTAAGACACAGAAAGCAAACAAGACATGTCCTGTGATTGTACCAAGAGACTCTCCAGACTGTGAGAAAGGAAGAGCGGGGACCCGCAGAGATGCAAAACGCCCAGGTTGAGAAGATGGAGCTGAGAGCTGAGGGCGACCGTGGCAGCTCGTGTGACAGGATGGATGACCAGAGAGGACGGTGCTGCTCAGAGGTCTGAAGAGGCCCTTGGGTGCTCAGCAGAGTCCTGGTGATCGTGTGGTGTGAGGAAGTCACCTATGGCCAGGGAGAGAACCCCCCCGGAGGACCAGAAGGGACAGTAACCAGTGCTGACACAGGGCTGGGAGGTGCCTGTGCACCAGCCAAGAGGACGCCTCATCTGCTCAGGGTGGTCTTGTCTCCACCCTGGAAAACGGTCACCCCAAGTCTCGATGCTGCCCAACCTGACGCCTCTCACCACCAAGAACTGAGACAAGGACACTCACAGGAATACAGACCACACAGAACAGAAAGGGCAGAAGCCAAATGTGTGGCTCAGCAGTGAATGTCACCAGCCTGCAGAGAAGCAGGAGGATGCAGCCGAAGTGAGGGAAACTTGACAGCAACGGTCCAGAGCTGTCAGGTGTCCCCTCGGCAGACAGGGGCTTTTCTGTAAGTTAGCAAAGATAAGCAGAGAGTGGAAGATATAAAAAAAGCACCGAGTTTGTAGAGATGAAAGTACAGTGTTGACATGAAAAATATGCTGAATGGAATTAGACATGCAGAAAAAATCAGAGAGCATGACAGCTCTTCATGAACCATGGGACCCGTGAGCCGTGGGACAGCTCCCTGTGGACAACTGGACATGTATTTACAGTTCTTGAAGGAGGAAAAGGGGTAAAGGAAGAAAGAATTGAAGACATAATGGTGTAAACTTTCCCAAATTTGATAAAAATTAGAAACCCACAGATACAAGAATCCCAATGTTCCACAAGCAAAATGAATGAATAAAATGATACTCATTCTGTTTACAGAGCCTGGCTTTCCTGCTGTGGTGACGCAGAAGTTCTTTTCTGTTAACTATCTACGTGTCACTTCTCCTCGATCGAGAGCTGCCCTCCACCTTGCTGCGCTGCCATCACCCTCATTCCTTTCCCAGTGCTAACCCAACCCGTCCCCAGGCGAGGGTTGGTCTTGGCTGCCCCCAGGGGACCTGGGGCAAGTTCAGGTATCCCACTCTTAAGGCCCCCTAACCCTGCGGAGCGGGAATAATGCTCTGACCACGGGGGCCCCTGGTTTCCTGCCTTTGATGATCTTCACCCGTTTTTTTCAATGACACATTATTGACCTATTTCCATCCACGAAAACTGCAGCCACATCAGCAGTGTTTGCTCTGAATTGGGGAGGTCATGGACATACAAGAATAGAAGTCAGGAGCGTGCTCCTTCTGCACATATGCTGTCATTTGAAAGAAGCTGCTTTGTACAATTGTAGACACAATTTTCTTACCTTTTCATGGGAAATATAACTATCTTACTCCCTATGAACAGCAAGAGGGGCGGGGAGAGAAAGACAGAGACAGACAGACAGAGAGAGAGACACACAGAACCAGAGACAGAGATAGAGAGACAGAGACAGAGTGACAGGAAGCCTTTCCCACTGTGTCTTCTGTGACCCTCCACCAGCCCCTCGCAAGTGGGTGTTGGAGCGCAGTGCTCACCTGTCCAGGATGCCACAGGAGTCTATCTGCAGGTTGCTGAAATTCCCGAGCATCCCCTGCTGCACTGAGATCAGGTCCACCTCTTGGGCGTTGATGGAGATGAGCCTCAGACACCCCTGGAATCCACCGAGCGAGCTCTCACACTCAGGTCCAGAGCTGGGAGGGAGGCACCCTGGTTGTTCAGACGCAGGAAAATGAGAGAAAGAGGGAGTCAGGACACCATGCTGACGGTATCTTGGCGTGAAAGGCGGTCACTCCCTCAGGTCAGGGACTCCGGACTTTCAGAGGTTCCTTCCCACGGAGGAGAGGGCCTTCCTGCTCATTTGGGAGGGAAGAGGGCGGAAGTGAGGTGGGTAGGTGTGAAATAACAGTGGAGTTGGGAATATAAAAGAGATGAAGACAAGTTAGGATTGAAAACTCCAACTGAACTCAAAGCATGCTCTTCTTCTGAAGCACACTAGGAAATTTAACCCCTTCCAGCATTGCGCATCGTACGTGAAAAAATTTAAACATACGTCAATTTAAAAATATAAACGAAATAACAGATTTCATTATCATATGTAGACATTGCTGAAACTGTGGCATTTGAAAAATGGTATTAAGTCGGAAGGTGACCAGGCACCTTCTGTTCATCCAGAAACTGGGCAAGGCCCGTGTGTTGCGAGCATGCACACCTGCAGGCTGGTTCAAGTCGTGTGTCCTAAAGACTCGCTTAGCAAACTAAGGAAAATGTATCTGTTTTATATGATCAGATTTGTATCAGGCGACCTAGTCAAACATAGAGTCAAAAATTAAATTTCTACAATAATGCCTTAATACCGTAAAAATAACAGTTTACGTGGGAGCAAGCACAGCATTCAAAAACATCCTCTTGGAGGATATGCTATGAAAGAGGGAACGGGCATTTGATAATTTCCAAAGTCAGCATCCCCCTTCCTCCGGCCACAGCCACAACCCTGAAGGGCTACAGAGCCGGCCTGGGGCCACGCCAGGACCTCTACTCTCCCAGCCGCCGTGAGGTCCAGCACCCAGCGCCACGTGGAGAGCAATCTGTGCACCCCGCTGCCAGGTTCTGCCGTGCGGATGTGAGCACTGCTCCACAGGAACAAGGCTCGCTGGCTGCAGGGGGGGGACAGCAGGGTGCTCGGGGGTTAGTGTCACTGTGTGGGCAGATCCAGCATGCGCTCAGTTAATACTAAATTTTCCTGTGCAAATGGCACACCTGGGCACCCATTTTAAGCATTCATGTCATTTAATGCCAAAACATTCTCATGCTCATTTTGATTTGAGACCTCGGCTTATACTTCACTTTTTTTCCAACTAATAAAGTGATGCTTTATTAATCTCCACACCTGGGGCATCATTTTTCCCCGATTACAGATAAAAATTATTTAACAGTTGTTTTTAAACTTAGAAAATCTTCCAGTTGTTTAAATATTAGAAATTATCAAGTTATATTACTATTTATATTGTAGGCTTGAGTTGTTATGATCATTTTAAGTTATATTTTCAGAAACCGACGTAAGTTATTTTGTTAAGTATAGACTTCACTCACCAAATTTATGTATGACTTTTTTAAAATAACTCCCTGTAGCCTTATGGTAAATAGTCATAAACATGGAATAACTGGGAGTAAGAATCACTCAGCATTTTAACTCTCTCACCATCCACGCTGGATTCCTGCCGGGTAGTGTCCATGATAATTACGTGTTCAGTTTACATTTAGGCTTCAAGAATAGTCATAACCCTGTAACACTTTCTCTTCCCAATAAGCGACATCTACATGGCAAATAAGTGTGTGTTTCCAGCCTCTGTGAAGCACAGAGAAAAGCTCAAAATTTGAAATTATGTCACAAGGATCTGGTCAGATTCATTCAGATTTTCTTATTTTCAGGGCAACACACGGAGCTCAAGTGGGGAGACATCGACCGAGGATGCCGCCACCGGTTTACCCCTGCGGGTGCGTCTACTCTACCTTCCAACATTCGATATGCTAGGGCTGAAAGGACAGGAACGTGAAGGAAATCGGGGGCCACCGTTAGATTTTGAAACACTAACAGTTCTGCTAATCCCCCTTTCTCGTGAAACACATCCTTTAACTCTTCCAGACCAAGCTCAGCTCCGAAGCTGTGACAGCAGTGGCGACTGCAGCCACGCAGAACAGCCACGCAGCCTCACAGAGAAACTCCGCGTGCACCCGGCTCAGGGCCTCCACAAAGAGGCACAGCAAGAGCCGGGCCAGGTGCGACTCAGCCTGCGGCCCTGCGATCGCAGGCTGGGGTGAGGAGGGGTGTCCAGCTGAGCCCATCGCTGGAGGCTCTAAATACAAAGATTTCTGGAGGAAACCCAATCCTGATTGACAGCGGCTTGTGCGAGACTGCCGAGGGGGCAGCAGGTGTCCCTCCGAGGGCGGCTGGTGGATGGCTGCCGCTGTCTTTGCACCAGGTTCCTTGAGATGCAGGGTGCACCCAGCCTGGGGCCGTCCACCCAACGCCACACACAGCGTGATATGGAACCGCAGAGAGACTGCACTGGAGGAAGGGACTGGACGCCAGGCGTCCCTAGACGGGACTAGTGGGATGGGCGCAGGAGGCTGTGCCGGGGGGAGTGCAGCTGCTGGAGCACACCCCACACAGTGAGCTCGGTCTAGGGGAGAGAAGGAAGAGAACCAGCGCCACCAGAATTCTAACGTGAGGGGCGGGGTGCTCTATTTGCTAAACAGCTGTTTGGAGAGCAGCTGGGGGCCAGAACAGACCAGCCACCGTGGTGGCCACCCGTGGGAGGCAGCCTGACATGCTCTGCCATGTGCAGAGAAGATCTACAGACTATTCCCTTGACCCCAGAGCGGTGCCTGGACACCGAGGAGATCCTGCACCAGGGGGAGAGCGAGGGGGAAGGAGACGGGCACAGGTCTCTGCACTCAGGACGCTGGACATGGGAAGGTGAACGACTTAGGAACAAACCACTAATAACCACGACTGGATATACGAGACCCTAATGGTAAAGAGATTCTCATGTTTAATGTAAATTTTACCTCAATAAATCTGCTGAGAAAAAAGTAAAGTTTCTCACATTTGCTGAACCCTTGGGGAACCAGCCACACGTGAATTATTAGGAAAATGTCTCAGCTGTCCCAGCGGGGCTGGGAGAGGTGAACTTTGAGTGAGTGCCAGTGGAGCCCGCCACTCACCTCCAAAGCGGTAGGCGACCCCTGCAGGGGTCTCCACAGGCAGCGCAGCGTGAATGGTGGCAGCCTGGTTGTGGTCCACAGTCACACTCAGCTGATTCCCCTTCACCATCAGGGAGACCAAATGCCACTGCCCATCATTCAGTCCAGCCCCTGGGGAGATTAAAATCAGGTAGAGACACCCACTACCTCCAACCTCATCGTGCTGAACACGGTGTCATATATAGTGAGTCCCCAAGTGCAGGAGCCTGGAGGAAGGAGGTGGAGGGAGCTCCCCATCCATGCAGAGAGTGAGGGCACAGATCCACTCCACCCCGAGTGTGCCCAGACAGCCCCCAACATCTAAAAGCTCCCATTGCCTGTCCCAGGATGCCTTCCCACCCCCATCCGTGTAATTTAACTTTTGGAGGGACATTCAGAAGAGCAGTTGCTCCCCAAGTTCTGGGATGAGTACAAGAAAGCTTTATCCCATTTCCTCCTACTTCACAAACTTCAGTGAGGATCTGAGTCTCCACAGTAATGGACTGTGACAGCCAGATAGCCATGGGGCTGTGCCAGGTGAGAGGGCATATCCGTTGTTCCATGAGTTCAAGCAAACACCATTGCTGATGCACAAGAGCCGTATACGGCTGTCTGTCCTTCAGCATCTTCTGATACAGGGCGGGAAACTCCACCCTGGACTTGAAGACATTACATCCAGGCTGCTCTTGTCAGACGTAACTGCCACGTGGGAGGCTGTGGATCCTGATGCCCCAGCAGGGAGCAGGGGTCTCGGGTAGGGAGGGGCCCCAGGAAGGTAAGGCTGTGCTAGGGCCAGGGCACAGGAGAGGGCTGAGGGGGCGTCTCCCGGGTGGCGGCTGATCCAGGGGGTCAGGCAGGCGCATTTCGGATGCGATGGTCCCACCTCTGGCTGCTTCTCCTGATGAACTTGCTCACATCTGGATTCTCCCCACTAGCCAAGGCCCCCCCAGCCCTGACCCATCCATAGGTTTGGGGACAGCGCAGGGCCTGCAGTGCGGGAGCGCTGATACACAGCTGTGGAGCTCTGGGGGCCTCCTCCTCAGTGCTACCAGATCCTTCAGTGCTACAGCTCACAGGAAGCCAGGCAACAGGACTTTGTGCTGACTGTTCCGATTATTAAATGTGGCTACTGCTTTAAAAGAAAAATGGAACAGAAAAGGCTCTGTTCAATCAAAACACAGCCAAGTCAGTGCCCAGGAGGGCAGTGTCTGCAGCCCGAAGTGAACGTGACGCCAATGGGAAGAGGCACTTGTTATAATTCAGGAGAACTGGAATCATGAGTTGTCACCCTGTGGGTGCTCTTCTTCCTCGCTGCGTCTGAAGGTCTTGTGGCAGATGTGCACGAGGATGGCAAAGACTGACAAGGTGTTTTGTGGCATGTAGAATTATTTCTGACCTCTAATTAGTTGAAGCAATATTTCTAAATAATTTAAAATGAAAATTTGCAAAGTTAGAAATTATGTGTTACCTTATAATTCAAACATTTATGCAAATTGTAACAGTTCAGCTCCATGTTCAACACAATTTAGCTTTGATTCCATGTAAGAACCTTAATACATATCAGATTGCAATTTAAATGTCTAATAACTGAGAAAAAAGCCACCATTATTTAATAAAAATTTAATATGATTCTTATTTAATTACTTTATTATTATTCATAAAATATACATTATTCTCCTTCAAGAGCCACTATACTGAATTCTCACAACTGTGCTTGAATCACCACCTCGATTACCAAGTGTTGGTCCCGTGCACCACAGGTCAGAGATCTTTGCCTAAGTGGAAGAAAACTAAGTCATCTATAGATTATTAATCTTTTAATCATTTAATCTTCAAATACAAAATTCACTTGCTTCACTAGATCTATCAATGAATAAAAATTTAAAAGAAACAGGAAAAATGAAAGGTGGGAATTGGAAGGAAAAGGTCATCTTCAGCAGAGAACTGAGGCATTTTATCCCATGTAAATGTGTTTGTTCCGTGTTTACACTCAGCAATAACCTGTGTCACAGTGGTTATGACCATATTCCCATTTAATGCTTTGATGTTGTCTCAGGTACCCTGTAACTGCATAACCAGTGACCCCCCCCATCTGACAGTTTCTGTGGGTTGGGAATCTGGGTGAGGCTTAGCTGCCACCTCTGGGTCACGGCTTCACATGAAGTGCCCACAGAGTGTGGCTGGGGCTGCCGTCTCATCCGAGAGCTCAGCCGGCAGGGTCTACTCTACTCACTCCTGTGTTGTCGGCAGGATTCAGGCCCTGGACCGTTGGGCTGATGGTCTCCATTCCCCATGGACATCTGCCAGCAGCTGCCTTCAGTCCCTCCCCCCAGGGGCCTCCAGGGGGAGATTGAACACGGCCGCTGGCTCCCCTCAGAGGGCACAAGAGGAACCTCCAGCATGAAAGCACTGTTGCTCTGTGTCCTGATCAGAGAAGTGACTGCCGGCACTTCCATCTCACTCTGTTCTTTGGGAGCAAAGCACTGGGTCCAGCTCGTCCTGTACGGAGAGGACTGTGCAGGGTGTGAACCACAGGAGGTGGGATCCCTGGGGCCAGTGCAGGGGGCCCCCCAGAAGCCATGACTGACTCTTCTGTTGGATATAAACATGACTATAAAGATTCGAGAAACAGTTATCACGTGTAATCTTATTCCCAACAACTTTTCAAATATTCACACCAGCCAACTGGTTAACAGTTGTACTGGTTTCGTGGTGCTCATTCAAGTCACCTTGCACTGAAGCAGCTTCTCCTAGATGTTTAAGGCCAGGCCATGACGGAAACCTCTTCAGAGCACAGCAGGTTCTTGCAGGAAACTACACGATAATGCACACTGAGTATGAATAAACATTTTTTCTGATACTAGTCTCTAAAGCCAGCCCTAGCTTCCAAATATCTTTTTACTGTCTTCCATATTTTATTGCTCTTGGCATGGATTCCCAGACAGAGAAAGACTCCGTCTACTTCCAGTCACTTAAGCATCAAGGTCAGTGATTAAATGGGGCTGGACGTTGCTCCAAATCAGAGAAGGCCCGACACAGCTCCCTGCTCAAGAACCCAGCATCCCGCATGGACGTGGATGCGTCCTTCCCAGATGTGGGACCTCAGAGTGGACGTCACGTGCACGACCCCATCAGAGACCCTTAGTGACATCATTTCTGACCATGCAAATGACACGGTGGTGCTCAAACTTGGCGTGAGTCCCGAGGCGGTCAGCCCTCCCAGGTCCTGAGGAAAGGCTGTCCACCCCAGACCGAGCGCTCAGTAGTAGAGCTGTTTGTTGGAAGAGCTTGTGTGGAGAAAACAGTGAGCTCCACTGTTTGAACACTTGCTTCCCTCTGCAAAGCCTCTCCCGAGTGTAGATATCTAGGTCCCACAGCCTGTGGATGGGAGCCAGGCTGGCTGGGCCATTTCATCCTGGGAGGGGATGCTGAGCGCCTTCTTCACTGGTTTAGAGGCCGTGCTTTCAGGGTCCCTTTCCTTCATCACATCAGATCAGGTCTCAGGTCTCAAAGGCATTGCCCTCTGAGAATGTGGCCAACTTCAGCAGGGCCCCCACAGCCCTGGCTGCGGTTTGGCTGCTGTGCTGGCAATGCCCCCCTTGTCTCTTCCCACCTTTGCCCTGTGACACCCAGACCTGATGCCAGCTTGCAAACCCAATGAGCGGAATATGACTGCAGCCCCACCTTCTATCCTCGCCCTTCTGTTCTGTCCAAAGACGATTGGCCATCACTTATATAATAAAGAACATTGCTTTGGAACATTAGCCCATATCTCAAAAGGCTTATCAGAGCTTTTGTCCAACAAAAATAGCTCCTCACTGGAGAGAGGAGCAGATGCTAGAGAAGGGAGGCTGTCTGCCCAGGAATGTAACATTTCCTCTGACGGTGACGTCTACATGGGGGTCATTCGCCATTTACAGATGAATGACTGGGTTTGGGAGGTTGAGCGAGTTCTCCAGACAGTGAAGACATGGCTCTGCTAACAGGGGCCGTGTTGCCAGCTCCTCCCTCTGGGCTGCGAAGCTGTGTCACCCTCATCACCAAAGACCAAGAACGGGTGTCACTTGCTGTCACATTTCATGATGGAGCAAACACAGCAGAAGACACAAGATGCAGGACATGGGACGTGAGCTGTGGTGTCTGGTGAGGAAGGGCTAACTGGGGAAGGGATGGAGTAGGGGGATCCAGGAATGGAGTGGGTTGGGGAGGGGCTTCCTCAGGCAACCCTTCTCCCCAGCAGCTGGTCTGGGGGACGGTGGGGGGGCACTAACGCTGGTGCTATGTGAGTGTAAACAGCAAGGAGCCCACATTCGAGGGTGGGGTGGGGGCACCTGGAAGTGGGGACAGAGCATCTTATGGACTCCAGGGACCATTTAGAAAACTCGTATGCTTTGTGTGCAATGTTCTGTGGGTGCTGGGGTGACACAGCCACATGGGCTGCGACAGGGACAGCTTTACCTGCAGTGACGTCACTCTGGGCTTGTCCTGGAGATGAGGACAGACCCAGCCTGAGGGCCCCATCACTGAGAGTGAGAAGGAGCCGCCTGGAGCCCTGCTGGGGCCAGCTGGACAGCAGGAGGCCTGCGCTGTTCCACGTCTGAAACTGGAAGCTGACGGAGGCCCTGTCATGCCCGGGGATGCCCGGCAGCACCAGGTGGCTCCCGGCGCTCAGAAAGGTGACGGGCATGGTCTGTGGCCGCGAGCAGGAGAAGGAGACCGTCCCCTGAGAACAAGAGAGAGGAGACATGAGGAGGCTCTGCAGATGCCCATCGCAGCGGCAGGGACCCTGGGAGTGGGCTGCTCCGTCACCCAGGTGTCCCCTGGGGCCCTTCCCAGATCCCGTCCTGCCCTCTAGCCAGGATAGTGTCTGCGAGATGCTGACCAGCACCCGCGCCCCCGGCACTCTCCAGGCTCTGCTGCCATCGGCCCCCAGACGCACCAGCTCCCTGGTGACAGACTCGGCATGCCTGTTTCTCACCCTGAGGCCAGTGCACCTCACTTTACACGTGTCTGGACCAACAGCCAGGACACAGCCAGGTGTCTCGGGGGGAGACGCCCAAAGGCCCCAAAAGACATGTGGGCCTCGGGCCACCCGTTCAGCCTTCTGTGACAAAATTCAGCCTCAGGGCTGGACTTCGTTAACCCTCACGAGAGTGGCCTTCTAACCAGAATGAAATGCTAATTAATCTCTAATAATAACAGGACAGCCCGGAGTGCTAAAACCTGGTCCCAATGACCCGGCTATTAGGAGGTGTATCTGGGACTTCAGCCTCCTATGTAAAGTACGCACATTCAGTCTCTTTATCATCTGCCTGTAAATCATAGAAAACACTACAACGCTTATCAACAACACGTGTGTGTCCAAAAATCCCACAGCACATGTTTTATTCCTAATGTCTCAGACACCTCGGCATTTAAAACGGGGCCTCGGGTCCTCTGCAGGTGGTGAGCACTCCCTCCAGCTCAGGTGGACACTCCATTGCTAACAGAACTGGTCTCTGGAGAGTAAGACATCACCACCCAAGGCAGCAGGAGCTGAGACTTCATCCTGGTTGCATATTTTCTTCAAAAACGTGTTTCTTCATCTCATATATAAACAAACAACCGTGAGCTCCATGTGCTTTGGTCTGTGTTTACTTCTCAAGTAGGGAGGCTGTGAGGTTAATAAGCATCATCTTTGACCTGACGTTCCTGTTTTAGGGGACCAGGTACCACCTTCCTCAGTGGAGCAGGTGCCTCTCCCGCCCACTTGGCCCCATGCGGACTCTTACTGTGATGAGAACCTGTGGTACATGCCGCTTGGCCAAATCAATGATGTCCTCTCCGTTAAAGTTGACATTTTCTAAACATCCATCGAAGTTTTTTCTTTGAAATGTCACTGGTTTTCCAGGTGCTAAAATCCCTCCAAAGCTGATCTTAGAAAGAAAAATGACATGAATAATATTCTTTAGCGGTTTTCTGATAACTTGCTTAAAACCTCTGTGATTCATGTAGCGGGAAGTGCCACAGGCCAATTCTGCATAACTATGTAGAGGTGTGTTTGTTAATTGTAAATGCAATTCTAAGACACAGATTCTGAAAGTTTACATGAGGCTGGCCCCCAGCACACTCGAGCTTCTTCACCCGTAATTAGGGGGAACGGGTAACTTAGCTTTGACCTGGGGCACTTGGGAAGGGAAGGGGGCTGCTGAGATTCCCGACAGGACAGCAGGTGCAGGTGGACCAGGACTCGGGTCCCTGGAGCAGAACCCCAGGCCCCGCCAGGTCCCTGCTACCCCTGTGTTACCAGGCCCGTGTGGATCCCCCCCCCACACCCTCCTGGGCTTTCCCTTCAGAGCAGGAGAAGCCATGTCCCCAGGGGCGGACCTTCTCCAATGCT